TATATATATATATATATATATATATATATATATATATATATATATATATATATATATATATATATTAGTAGAGATGTTGGGGTGTACATACAGCAGCGACAAGCACTCGATCTGCTGAGGCCCCTTCGTCGTCTCCCATTACTGTGTGCTTGAGAAACAGCAGCAAATGCGGCACCTGCAGCAGCAGCAGCAGCAGCAGCAGCAGCAACAGCAACAGCAGCAGCAGCAGCAGCACTTATATTGTAATTCAATAGCGATAGCAATTCCTCACAAACTGCTGTGCAGACGGAGACAAATGCAGCAGCAGCTGCAGCAGCAACTGCCGCAGAAGCAGCAGCAACAGCAGCAGCAGCAGCCGCAGCAGCAAAAGGCAGGCCTCACTCACCTTTGTTACTGCTGAGTTGCAGCAGCGCAGCACAGTGGAGATGTTGGACTCAACGAGGAACGACATGCTGCAGCAGCAAACGACAGCAGCAGCAGCAGCAGCAGCAACACCAGCAGCAGCAGCAGCAGACTCTATACATATTATGGCCGTTGCAGCTGCAGCTCCTCCTAAACCGTCGTGCTGCTGCCGCTGCTGCTGCTGCTGCTGCTGCTGCTGCTGCTGCTTCTGTCCTCAAGCAGAGGCCTCACATGCGGGGACAGGGAGAAGGAAAAGGAGTTAAGCCCAAGTGAAATGCTGCAGCAGCGCAGTATACATACACCCCAAACAAACAGCAAACTGCGGTATATATATATATATATATATATATATATATATATATATATATATATATATATATATATATATNCAGCAAACTGCGGTATATATATATATATATAATGAAAACACATGTATACAACAAACACGAAGAAGAGACAGCCGCACAACTCGATCTGCGAACAAGGTCGCTGCTGCTGCTGCCACGCAGCAGCAGCAACAGCAGCAGCAAATGTAAAAGCAGTCTTAGTAGTGTTAACAGCAGCAGCAACAGCAACAGCAACAGCAGCAGCAGCAGCAGCAGCAGCAGCAGCTTTACCATCGAACGGAAGGCCCAAGAAGAGGAGAGCGCGCGCCCAAGAGGCAGAGTGCTGCAGGGGGGCTTTCTGCTCCAGTACATCAGCAGGGCATGCATCTGCTACTGCTGCTGCTGCTGCTGCTGCTGCTGCTGCTTCTTCTGCTGCTGCTTCGGTGTCACAGTGGCTAAGCCCTAGCCAAGCGTCGCCCCAGCAGCCGGGGCAAGGCACGAAACCGGGAGCAGCAGCAGCAGCAGCAACAGCAGCAGCAGCAGCATCAGCAGATGCCTGCGAGCTGTCTGCAGACCGCAGGGGCCCCTCCTCAACCCCATACGGTGAGTCGCCCGCGAGCCCCCTGCATGCGGCGTCACAAACCCTAAACCCTAAACCCTAAACCCTAAACCCTTTGTCCATTAGAGAGCTCTAGTAGGGGTGGGGTGTTGCAACCATGGCAGGCACCAATAACGCGGTCTAGGGTTTAGGGTTTAGGGTTTATGGCGGTAGTATGCAGCATGCCTTGGGGCTCCTGATGAGTAGGGTTTAGGGTTTAGGGTTTAGGGTTTAGGGTTTAGAGGCCCCACTTGATTTTTTTTCCCTTTTCCTGCTTCTGCCGCAGCCGCAGCAGACGGCCAGCTGGCCCCGGCAGCTCTGCGTTTGCTGCTGGAGGCAGCAGCACGGACGGCAGCTGCTGCGCTGCAGCTTGCAGCACCGCATTAGCAACTGCTGCTGCTGCAGTTGCAGCCTTCACCCCCTCAAAGCTGAGCTCTTCCCTTTTGCAGCAGTTGCTGCAGCTGCTGCAGCAGCTGCTGCTGCTGCTGCCGCCGCCGCCGTTGTTGCTGCGCACGGCCAGACTTGAAGGGGGGAACGAAGGGTCCCAGCTGCTGCTGATAGCAGCAGGAGTTCCTGCTTCAGCAGCAGCAGCAGCAGCAGTTGCTGCTGCTGCTGCTGCCCTTGATAAACCCCAAACCCTCTTGGATCTCGGCACTGGAGCTGCTGCTGTCGTCTGAGACCCCTCATAGAAGCTGTTCTTTTGTGAGCCGTCACCGGTCAGCAGCAGCTGCTGCTGCTGCTGTAGTTGCTGCTGCACTTGCTGCTGCTGCTGTAGCTGCTGAACCTGCTGCTCCTGCTGCTGCTGCCACTGTCGACGCCGCAGAGGTCCTTGAGGCCTCCATGGATTCGCCGGCTGTAGGAACGTCCGCTGCGTGTCCTCACATTCAGAAGGGGGGTGCCATCGTTGCTGCTGCTGCACTGGCTGCTGCACTTGCTGCTGCTGGTGCTGCTGGTGCTGCTGCTGCTGCCCCCAATGAGAAGGCGGGGTCGGTGAGTCCCATATGCGTGGCCCCTGACGCTGCTGCTGTTGCTGCTGTTGTGAATATGGAGAGCTGCCCTGGGGGGAGCTGCATGGCTCGCTTTCGGGTTGTGGCTGCGCCTGCCACTGCTGCTGCAGCAGCAGTTGCTGCTGCCGCTGCAGCAACTGCTGCTGATGAGATCGTTGTTGGTGCCAGTCGGGGGTTTCATTCCCTAGTTGGGGCCCCCAGTGCTGTGAAGGGCCCCCCTGTTGCAGCTCTGCTTCTCCTTCTCGGGTGTACGTACACAGGAATTGCCATCGAGAGGATCCCCGCTGCGAACACTCCTGCGCTGAATCCAGCTGCTGCTGCTGCTGCTGCTGCTGCTGCTGGTGGTGGTCTGTGGTATGCCAAAGCCGTTGTTCTATCTGCTGTTGCCCCCCATACCACTGATGCTGCTGTTGCTGCTGCTGCTGCTGCCAGCTGAATGGGGTGCCCCCCCCTTGCATCGCGCAGGCTTCGGGGCTCGCGAGTAGCACAGATTGTCAACCATCCGGCATTAAGAAGATATGCAGCGTGTGCGTTCAGAGCTGATGAAATAAAAGAGAGAGGGGGGGACAGGGCTCAAATGGAATACAGCAGGCAGCGCCAATGAGGCAGAGAAAAGGAAGCAGCAGAGAAAGAAGACGAAGAAGAAGAGGGAGAAGAAGCAAGCGGCCAGCTAAAGGTATTTCATTATTAGAAGTTTCGGTGCTCCATAACACCAGGTGGAATCTGGGGGTGTTGGGGTTGTTATGAGTCCACCCTTTGCTTGCTTACACTTATGCTCTATGAATTACTCTCCGAAATAAAAATATATTAAATAGAATAACTAACCCTTTTAATAAACAAATTCATAAAATATTGGTTTTTTTGATTATATTTTAACGAGAAGGAAAAGCGCAAACAGACAGACCCTTCACACCGCAAGAAGAGAAGACCCCCCAGCCAGGCCCGGTGCTGGGGGCCCCCCACTAACTGCTTTCTGATGGAATACGAGTGGTTTCGTTGCTATTTCATTTATTTATTTTGTATTTATTGACGAATTTCTGCTATTTGACGCGAAGATTCCTCAAGTTTCCCTCAGGTTTCCCTCGTAGCAGGCAGCATACGAATCCTAGGAGCCCTGGTGGTTTCGCTTGTTTGTTACCCGATTGCCATTCAAAGTGGAAAAAGATGCAAAGTTCAACAGATGAAGCAAAGAAAGCAGCCGTGAGAAACACAATTATATAAATGCCAAAAATTTTGCAAGTTGCGGCCGCCCGTAGTCGTTCTGACGCCCTAAACCGACGCGCTTTCTCTCTCCGTGCTGAGCTTCAGGAGGGTTTCTGCCTCCAAATGACGCAATTAATTATTACTTTTGTTTGAAATATTCTATTTGTATTCTTTTCTTAACCTTCTGTAGAAAGATCGCTCCATTTATACGGGAAAACAGACCATCGTGCATGACGCGGTGTCATTCAATGTTGAATTGCATGAAAAGGAGCTCTTTGAGTAACTTCTACCGTTTTTTCTCGTTTTTTTCATCATGGTTTTATTTATTTTCTTCTAATTACCTTCTTAACCCCAGCATTTCTTGATTTCTCCCCAGATTCCACTGAATCACCGATGCGTTTCTGCCTGCTGCTGCTGCTGTTGCCTGTGTCCGTTCAACTTCTATGCACGCTGCTGCAGGCCACCGAGGCGGTAAACACCTGCATTCAGTCGGGCATGAATGTCGGACTGGGTACTGGGTCCACGGCTTCTTTTGCAGTACGGCGGCTGGCGGAGAGAATTCAACAAGGGGAACTGACAAACATCAGCTGCGTCTCGACGAGCGAAGAAACACGAAAGCTGGTGAGAAGAAGAAGCATACTGCCACCAAGAACATCCTCTTATCTAACCCCTTTTGCTGCTTTAGCTGCTGCAGCACCAGCTGCAGCAGTTACAACAGCTGCAGCAGCAACAGCAGCAGCAGCATATGAATACGGATGCATCGGTGTGGTTTCAGGCGGAATCTCTGGGAATTTCTGTTTTTCCTCTCGACGGAATTTCTCTCCCACTTGACGTCGCGATAGATGGGGCGGATGAGGTGCTGAAGACAGACACCGAGTGAGATGTGGCAGCAGCAGCACAGCTGCAGCACCAAGCAAGCAGAGTCAACGCTCAAGGACAGCAACTGCTGCTGCTGCTTATGCTGCTGCTGCTCGTGCTTATGCTGTGGCTGCAGGTTGGTGCTGATCAAGGGCCGCGGCGGCGCTCTGCTGCGGGAGAAGCTGGTGGAAGTCCAGAGCAAGAGCTTTGTCTGTGTAGGTACTCAGCGCATGCATGCATGCATGCATGCTTTCCCCTGCATGCATTTAGGGGCTGCTAGTTGCTGTCATATTTATTTCCTTTGGCGGATGGGTTGAATGACAATTGCATTGTGCTACGGTGTACATTAAACTGGGGTATACGTTGAGATACGCTTCTCCTGCTGCTGCTGCTGCTGCTGCTGCTGCTGCTGCTGCTGCTGCAGATTGTTGATGAAGACAAACTCGTGACAGAAAATAATTTTGGCACGACAGGAGCAGTGCCTCTGGAGATTGTGAAGTTTGGGGCGCAGACAACGAGACGGGCGGTGCTTGCTGCTGTTGTTGCTGCATTGATGGAGGGGGGCCCCCAGGGGGCCCCCTTGGGGGCCCCCTTGGGGGCCCCCCAGGCAGACCCAGAGAAAGCTGCACAAGAACTTGGCGTATCTGCGGTGTACAGACACCTCAAAGGCAGCAATGAATTGTTTGTATCAGATAACGGAAACTTATGTCTCGACCTTTTCTTTAAAAACCCAATTAAGGACCCCAGAAAGCTGCATGAAAAACTTATACATGTAAACCCTAAACCCTAAACCCTAAACCCTAGATAACGTACAACAGCGTTCACCTTCTTCTTACTTGTGCTGCTCCTGCATCAGCTGCAACACTGATGCAGCTGCCATCAGCTGCTGCAGTTGCTGCGGATGCTGCAGCTGCTGCGGCTGCTGCAGTTGCTGCGGCTGCTGCAGTTGCTGCGGCTGCTGCAGTTGCTGCGGCTGCTGCAGTTGCTGCGGCTGCTGCAGTTGCTGCACTTGCTCATGCAGCTAAAATGCTCGTGACAGTTTGGGTGTGTTGCGGCTTGGGCTGTGCTGTGTGTCACCTTTCTACTGGCTGTAAACTGCATGCATCCGGCCGCGTTTGGGGTGTACATAGAATATAATAAATTATTTTTTCACGTTGAAAATGCATGCATACATGCATGCATGCATGCATGCGTGCATGCATGCATACATGCATGCATGCGTGCATGCGTCCGCTCTGCTCCGTGGCGTTTTTGCTTTTTGTTTCTTCTTCAGGTTGTCGGTGTTGTGGAGACGGGCTTCTTCATTGGCCTCAGCAACCTCTGCATAGTTGGCCGGCCTGGGGGCACTACAACGCGGCTAGCTATCTCACAATGAGTGCCAGCTAGCTAGCTAGCCAGATTGCTAGCTAGCTAGCCAGACAGCTAGCTAGCTAGCCAGATTGCTAGCTAGCTAGCCAGGTAGCTAGCTAGCTAGCCCCTTCGGGTGTTACCTCCGTGCTAGCGAGCTCCCCAGCTAGCTGCTTAGGTAAAACCCCAGCTAGCGAGCTCACCAGCTATCCAGCTAGCCAGAGAGCTAGCTAGCTAGCTAGCTAGCTNAGCTAGCTAGCTAGCTAGCTAGCTGGCTAGCTAACTGACCCCGGTTGACAGGCCCCGCCAGCTCATCAGTGGCCGGCGTGTCGACTGCTTGGGCCCCTCTTCGCCACTACGAGAATCTTTGGCCCAATTGGGGGCCCCTGGGAGCCCCTTCTGGGGGCCCCTTCTGGGGGCCCCTTCTGGGGGCCCCTGGGGGCCCCTGGGGGGCCCCTTATGGGGGCCCATGGGGGCCCGTGGGGGCCCCTGGGGGGCCCCTTCTGGGGGCCGTAGGGGGTCCCCTGTTCTGTATCAGTTTCAGGCGCATATTCGTTTGTCTCTCCATGTGGAGCTGGCGTTTGACTGCCTTTCTGTTTTGTGTTTTGGACTGAAGTTGATAGAAATATATTTATCTGTATTTTGTTTTTTTTTTTTTTTGTTTTTTATTTTTTTCTCTATCTCTTATTCAGTTTGTGTGTGTGCGGCGCTATATGCTGCTGCCCACCTGCATTTTCTACGCTTGCTGCTGCTGCAGCAACTGCTGCAGCAGTTGCTGCTGCTGCAAATAGCAGTTGTTGCTGCAGCAAACAGCAGTTGTTGCTGCAGCAAGCAGCAGTTGCTGCTGCAGCAAACAGCAGTTGCTGCTGCAGCAAACAGCAGTTGCTGCTGCAGCAAGCAGCAGTTGCTGCTATGCAGTTATTGCATGCAACAGACAGAGGGGCAGCTGAAGCCCCATAGCCTGAAGTGCAGCTGTCAGCCCAGACACAGCTCGTTCACGTGCTGCTGCTGCTGCTGCTGCTGCTGCTGCTGCTGTTGCTGCTGCTCAGCTCCACGCAGCAGCAGCAGCAGCATCAGCTAGACAGTGGTGGCGCCCCCAGCGTCTGCAGCAGCGCGCGCACTGCCTGCTTGGTTTCACAGCAGTCTATTTGCTTATCTGCTGCTGCTGCTGCATCTGCTGCTGCTGCTGCAGCGGTCGTTTCTGCTGCTTCTGCTGCTGCTGTTTGTGGCTTTTTCGTACAGCAGCAGCAGGCAGTCTTCCCGTCTACTGTCGCTGTTGCTGCTGCAGGGGCCTCCTCTGCTGCTGCTGCTGCTGCTGTTGCTGCTGCTGGTGCTGCAGGGGATTCTTCTGCTGCAGCAGCAGCAGCAGCAGCAGGGACGACAGTCGAGTGTATGGCTACGAGAGACTGCTCAAAGGAGGCGGTAACCTGCTGCAGCTCCTGCTGCAGCAGCAGCCTTGCTGCCTTTGCTGTTGCATGCAGCCCCGCCAAGAAGCTGAGGAAGCCTGCAGTAAGAGAGACTCGATAAGCAATACGGCAGCAAAAGGCAGATGCATCAGCAGCAGCAGCAGCTGTTTCTGTTGCTGCAGCAGCAGCAGCAGCAGCTGCTGCTGCTGCTGCTGAGGGAACGGGACAGCTTCGTGTCTGGCAGCAGCAGCAGCAGCTGCTGCAGCGCGAGGCAGCAAGAGTAGAGAGATGCGAAGCCAGGGCCCGTAGCAGCTGCAGCAGCAGCTGCGGCTCTATATCGACGGAGAAGAGGCGTTGCAGTCCTTCTTGTGGCTGCTGCAGCAACCAGCTGTACATACACCTCAACACAAACAAACAGAGAAACTTTTGCTGCACCGTATACATATATATATATATATATA